CTATTCGTCATGTCTACAGATCTCCCACAAAATGACAAGAGCAATGTAGCTATATCAGGTCCAAGCAACTTATGCACATAGTAGATTATCAAAACCAAAATGGAAACTTTGCCACTCAAATGCCAGATATAACCTTAGAAAAACATGAGCGCTCCTTCTATACAAAGCTTTACAAGTAAAAGAAGAAAGAGAAGACTGTAATGGCAGTGGAGATTTTATGAGTAAAAAACTTAAGGCATTTTAGCCCAGTTCCAGCAGAATTCCCTTCCCTTCCCTCTCTCCCTTCAATTTATATAACACCCAGCTGGTTACATAGGAAATAACCACAATTCCACTCTGAAATAAATCGAGTCCCCCTCTTAAATTACTTTTTCCTCCAGAGAATGTTCATCGGTGCAGGATTCCCTATTTAAAAAGCCAAGTGTGTTGCCTACATACCGCCCTATATCACTTCAAACACTTTCTGGGCAGTTTACAATTTAAGCTACACATTGCCTCCTTCCTGGATATTCAATTTACCAACCTTGGAAAGATGGAAGGCTGACTCAATCCTGAGCCAGCTAGCTGGGATTGCACCCATATTGAGAGCAGAATTTTGGCTGCAGTACTACTGCAATTTATCCACTGCACCACAAGGCTCTATTACAGAAACACGACTTAACAGTTTGAAAAACCTGCTGTGGACTTCCACTTAAAAGTAACAGATGCTTGTCCTAACATTTCCTCAAACCTCTGTATAATTATTTGCAACTATTTATGTCTAAACCTACTTCCAAATTCACTGATGACTGAAATCTAAACATTTCAGTACATCTGGCAAAAGACTGCAAACAGCAGCTGACTGCTCATTGAGTGTTTATGCCTTTTTTTGTGTCAGGTGAGAGCCAGAGAAAAACTTGCTCTGAAGTTGTTTCCCTAGGATAAGGTGAAAAATCTGCCCTCCTATCATGACTTTCCCAGGCTCTCAGGAGACTCAAAGGTTGTTCTGTCCGTCACCACTTTTAAAACAGAGCCATTCAAATCCCTATCCATCTTGAATCTCATCTCATCTCATAAAAACAATCATTCATATGAATTTCATCAGATGGGTTTAAGTGTGGCAGCCCTTAATTACAAGAAAGCATACACACAAAACGCAAAGATTTTCAAGCTATTCAGTTAACACTGAGGCTGAAATACCCAAAATCATGTCCAAAACTATCAACAGGTAAGATTTCCACCAAGTCAAGACCCCACTGTATTCATGTCCAAAAGCTATCAACAGGTAAGATTTCCAGAGCACTGCCAAAATTTCTTTCCAAAGGTCATGTCAGTCACATTAACAGAATTAAAACAAATGAACAAAAGAGAGATGTGATGGTTAAGGCGAGGTAAATGTGATTATTTGTTTTCCAAATAATCCAAAAATAGTCCAACTATAGATATTGCCCTGAATCAGAATAACTTAATCCCATCTCTGAAGATACCATATGGGGACCTCAAGATGCACCATTCTTGGCTCCCTTACGGAAGGGATGAAAAGTAACAGTTTTCCAGTGTTTATGCCACTATGCAATAATGACTTTGCTTTACTCTTTCCTCAAAATCAGATATTTAATAAAATTACTTACGACTAATTATAATTACTGATATGTCCAGAATGGTAGCCTTATGCTGTAGCTACTATTAAAACCATGCAGACATATCAAAACTGGAATGTATTTTATCCTCAATTCATATCTCAAATAACCCAAGAAGCTTATCTCCTAAAAACAACATTCAAGTGTTTCACATTTACAGGACTGAATAAATATTAGCTTCCTATACTGGGATTTCGACCCTGGACTCAAGATACCAAATATTTTCAAATGTCTCCTGCATACCTTTTCTCATGACTGGAAAAACTGTGACACAGTATTCCTCAAAACACTCCTTTAGATCCTGAAGTGTTTTTTTAAACACCCTTGTCTTTATTGATATCATGGATGTATAAATATACTGGGAAATAACACACATCCTGAAGCTAGTTCTAGCAACATTTGAGAGTGAGTCTTTATGCATTACCTCAAAGAGTACAGACACACACCAATACCTCTATAAGGACATTTCTGAGGAGTACATTCCAAGACTGTATCTTTTGCCTGCTTGCTGCATGTAGTGCGGCAGGTTTGTGGGGTTATTGTCTTAACATAACATTGCTATTTTACTGAAAAGTAGCTGTTTAAGAATCCAAAGCCTAAATTTGAAGTGCCAGAGGATTATGTGCCACTTTCTCCTTTCCCTGAGCAAACAGTAAATATTACCACAATCAAGTCCAGATTTAACAAACAATAGGTTTGTTGTTATAAGCATGAATTGCAGAAAAACGTGACTGAAAATTTTCTCTTCCTCCTCTCCCTCGACTTTAGCATACAAGGAGAAGAGATAAGAAGGCACAGCTGGAACCTCCAAAAAAAAAACAGAGCTAAGAAGAGACTACAACTGTTCGTTCTTCCCACATGTGCAAACTCTTTTTATGTATTTAAACATTTAGAAGTGCAAATATTTTGTATGCAATTGAGAGCTGGCTTTGGCCAAGAGGGCAATATAAATTGCCTGCTCTTTGCTGCAGTCTGGGAAGTAGGAGGATTTTTCCTTTGACAGCCCTACCTCTAACCAACAATATTACACTACAGAATTTCAAGCTATTCTTCTCAGGGAGCCTCAAGGATGACCAGGATATGACAGTGACATGTTTCAGAATTACTGTGCATTGCTCTAATCTGAACCTAAAATATGAAGATAGAATACAATGGATTGCACTTGCAGTGTTGTTTTCAACCACCCTCTCAACCTTGGCCAAACCTCCGAAAGATAATTGCGGGGTTGCTGCAAACAAAGTAAAATGTAACACAAAGCCATCAACACTCTCTCCCACTAACATCTCTCCTCGCCCCAACTTGCTTGTACTTCTGGAATCCTGGGTTTCCCCAAGAATAATGATGTTTCACCCTTGTGCAGTGATGGTACCACTGGCACACCTGCCAACTTTACAGAAGGGAAAAATATAATAATACGGGACTGTTCCTCTTCAGAGTTTCAGCCCAACCAACCATATCAATACAGTTGTTTCAGGACAATCTACTGCTTTTCCTCCTAAGTTTCCTCCTATTCTCCTCCCCCAGAAACTATATATTTGCAATCACTGAGCATGCTATTACTTCCAACTTTTCTGAAGGGGAGGAGCTTGGATCTTCTCCTACTTACACAAACCTTTGGGATTACTGTTCATGTGTTCAAAACTCCTCTCCTGTTTTGAAGTGGAGTCTTTCTCGCACCCTACCTTCCATACCGCTATACTATCGTTTCAGTCCTAGTACATAACTCAATATATGGTTCACATCATGCTGTTTATCTAAATGTGGTGTTCAACGGTTCACTGAAAATGTTGTTTGTTCCTTAGTTTGAGACAAAATGAAGAAAAGTTCTTTTTTATACATTGTGATCAGAAGAGTCTCATTTTTTTCTCCTACAGAAATTATGGAGAGTACAATGAAACATATGTGTTTAAGGCTTGGTAATAACTCATGCTTGTAACAAACCATTATTTGTTGTTACGTCAGAACCAGGTCAACAATTTGTTTTTGTTTTTTAATGCAGATTGCAAACCCGGGTCAAATATTCCACTGCAGCCCTGAAATGAAAGAAATGACAATATGCAGCAGCCTGGTGGGCTGTGTAACACCAATTTTGCATAGAAATACTTATAGTATGGTAGAAATCATTAGAAAGAAATAATTATGCTATAATGGTCCAGCACATGTTTGTTCCCCTCTGTCAATGAAACCCTGTTAGAAATAAAGGTGCTGCAATATCTAAAAATATATCCTATGTGGGGCAGGATTAAATAAGATAGCAGCATCCCAGTACAATAAGGAACATAAGATTGTTAATTTTCTATTTCAAACAATAACGTTCTGTGCCACAAAATGACTTTGGATGTCCCTGAAGTTTCAAGAGGCTTGCTGTTATTGGGGAAATTCTGCTTTTTTGCTATCAAGAACAGCTTCATTATGCATCAAAATGGTGGTCCACTATTAGCTTACCAACTACTTTTCCAAAGTTAAAATGTGCTTCACAGCATTCAACTTGAATGAACTCTGAAGTTTCAAAGTGACTGTTTAAAGTGACTGTCCACAAGACACAACAATTCATCACAGGACTGCAAGAATAGTTGCATCTTTACTTGTGGAAACATGAGCCCTATTAAGCGTCACACTTACCTACTCTTCATTTTCAGGTGAGTGTCTTTATACTTTAAGAGCTTATCCTCACATTTGTGGTGATTCACAAAATTAAACATTCATGCTCTAGGAAAACACAAGCTAAACAAATGGTACACTGAACATGCAAATTTACTTTTCACTAAATTATACAGTGGTGCCTCGCATAGCGATCGCTCCGTTTAGTGATGAAATAGCTTTGTGACACATGTTTTGCAATCGCTTTCCTATGGGGGAATTTCCCTTTGTGATGCTCGGTTCCCTGCTTCGGGAACCGAGCATCGCAAAGCGACGATTTTAAAACAGCTGACTGGCAGTTTCAAAATATCGCAGGGTAAACAAAATGGCCACCCGCTGTATTTAGGGACGGATTCCTCGCTTAAGAGGCAGCGAAAATGGCCGCGCTATGGAGGATCTTCACTGAACTGTGAGTTTTAAGCCCATAGGAACGCATTGAAGAGCGTTCAATGCGTTTCTATGGGCTTTTTAATATCGCATTGCGACGTTTTCATTCTGCAGCAATTTTTGTGGAACGAATTAATGTCGCAATGCGAGGCACCACTGTATTTACTTTTCAATAAATTAAACCTCCGGCCTTAAAGAATTGGTGAAACTATTTATGGGCTTCCTTCACCAAGACTTTAAAAGCATCAGAAATAAATGCACAATAATCAAATGTAATTCTGTTCAAATTTCAAGCAAGATCCATTTTTTGAAGACGAGTTAGAAATGATGTTGTGTTTTACTTTATTCACTCACTTTTGGGAGTGTCCATTCTGATCGAGACCCATCAGCGTTGTAGTAGTATGACCGACCTTGTTCATCTATATGTCTTATCCACTATAAGAGCAGGAATTAAGGAAATATTTAATGTAAAAAACACGAATATCAACTTATTCATAAATAAATTGAAAGCAGCTTTGGTTCTGTATCTTCCTCTTTAAAGGAGCTAAATACGTATTATTAGCCAATGATTTAATAAAATCTCATATAAGGAACAATAGAAAAAACAGTTTAAAAACGGAGATTTCAACATTAAGAAGAATATTAGAAAATAAATTCATTGGAGAGAAGCTCTGAACCAGACTATTGCTCTGTTGACACTTTTTTTATTTTATTTATTTATTTATTTAAATTTATACCCCATCCATTTAGTGCGTATGCCACTACTATAGGCGGCTTACAAAATATTATAAAACATACAGTTAAAAATATTAAACTAAAAGGCATCCATCACCAAAGCAAGAGACAGAATTAAGCACAGCACTGCTTCTTGAGGTTTTTTTAAATATATGTGATCAGATGTTATATACTCAAAGAATTCTTTCAGCCCATAAAACACAAAGCAAGAATCTCTTCATTATTCCATAAAGCATATGAAAAAATTGCAAAATTGAAAAAGAGTTTTCATAACGTACCCAGAACTATTAAGTTTTAAAGTAAGCTTTCCACAACTAGTTTGCATTTCAAACATCACAACTGATCAGATTTAAGTTCTGATAATTTCTAAATGGAAAAAAATCAATTTACATTAGAAATGCTTGTCTTCATTAAGGACTTCTTCCTGAGACATGGAGATCCTAAGGATCACATTTTTATTTACTTATAATGTAATTATCATGCATTTAAAAGTCTCGTGTTTCAAGTCTGAATCTAGTTTAACAGGGAGAAAATAACTTCAACCTTTCTCAATTTTATTTGTATTAGAATCCTTATCCCTCATCAGTGCATTTGAAGTCTGAAAAGCAAAGTGAAAGAACCTCATACCTCACAATGAAAGATATAACAACACATATTGAGTGATCTTGAATAGAGATGATTGTCTAACAGGATGGAAAAGGACTTAGGGGCAGACATCCTATTGCATAACAAAATCAAAGTCATAAATTTCCTCACCAGTAAATAAACGTCCTTGCCACAAATCTAGGGGGTGTTGAACACACTCTGGTGCATGTATGTTCATCCTTGAGACTTGTTGCAAGGTGTTTTTGTTTGCTTGTTTGTTTGTTTACCAGCAAAGAACAGACATAAACATTACATTAAGCAACAGTATTTTGACCATGAAATCCTACTAACTTCCACTTTGCACATTATTTGAATCATACCAAATTCCACCTAGCCCAGTATTATTTGAAAGAATCCCAAGTAACAGCAGACCCTAAAACGGCAAAAAATATCTTCCCCGTCTATATTTCTAATGGGGTGTGCAGTTCACGTACAATGAAAAAGAGACCAGCATGATGCCAATGGTATGTATTAGGAGAGCAAGTACTTCAATAAAGCTCTTTGGGGAAAAGGGGAATAATAATATAATGGAGTACATTGTATTAATATGCATGTTGAATAGAACAACGCATTTCACTAAAGCTTTCCCACAAGTATGCTCCAAAGTGTGTTGATTCAGAAGTAATGCAACTGTAAACATATTAAACTAGAAACTCAATGCCAGTTTCCTCCTTGCTGATGATGGAAGGATGACTCACTTTCTGATGAAGACCTTACTACAGAAGAAAATGGGGAAAGGTGAAAAAATCCCTGGAAGTCTTTGAAATAACAATCTTCTGTCCCCTTCCCAGAATAATCATGGCTAAGAAGTAAAGAAATAAATCTGTATTTTATAGAATATCAGTGCAGTATCCTATGTTCAGAAACCAAAAGTACAGTAATCCAAATTGGCTTCCTTAGTCGGTGGCCGATTTCAGTATCCTTGGGGCAGCCCAAGAACACTATGACTATGACTATGACTAGGCAAGTAATAGCATTCCAGAAGGTTGTGTAGTACCTACCCACCAAAGACTGCATTCTGCAATTCCAAAAGAAAACAACAACAGACAATCTGCTTTGCAAATCTGATCCAGATTGAAGCAGCCCAAAAGATCATCATGGTTGCTGCTCTCCTAGCAGGATGTATTAGACTCCTTTGCAAGAGGTTCCCAAAGCTTCTGCTGCACATACTACTACATTTCAATCTCTCAGGCAATCCCTACATATCAGCTAAAAGCCATGGACACTCCTATGATCATTCAGCTCCTACACACATTGTCTACCCATCCCCATTTACTTAATTTTTGAGATTATTGCAAAGTTCAAGACGGACACATGGAATTTCTATTGACACATAGTAATCAAATAAATCTATAGAAGAATTCAGGATGAAGATGAAGTGAAGCTTATCTCCACCATGTATGTTCTGTTCCTCTATTGGAGCAGAGAACAAAAAGCCAGAACTTTATTTGTTGAGTCTGATTGGCAAGGTGCACACAGTTGGCCAGTTTCTCTTCTCTTCCCCCCCCCCTCGCTTCTGTGCCCATTGCTAGCAAGAAAAGGATGAAAAGCAAGTCAAGGCTGGCTGGCCACCATCCTTCCAAAGAGCTCCCACAGCTACATTACAGTGCCATATTGTTACATGGGACTAAACTCCACATCCACAGAAGGTTCACTTAGAGCACAGGCTTCAGAGCACAAAGAGGTTATTCCGGAGGTAGGCTTCTATCTCTCCAGTTATTTTTAAAGCCAATTCAGTACTAGAGTTGGGATATTAATATTCATCCCCCGGGGAGACAAATACGGATATCGCCAAAGTGGAGCGGCTGGTTACAGATACCCCCCAAACCAGATTATCCACTTATTCGCTTGCGGAATGGCGCATGCAGCCATCAACTTTCATGCCATGCCAGTTACGGAAGTAGCCCAGCTGGCGCTTCCCTGCCTCCCTGAGCTGCTGACCATTCTGATGAGGAGGGTGGGATGATGAGTCTCCCGGCTGAGCTGTCGAGTGGTCAGCATCGCAGAGAGGCAGGGAAGTATTGGCCAGGCTACTTCTGTGATGGGAGCAGCATGAAAAATGACATCCCTGTGTACAACACTGCGAGTGGTAAGTGGATTGGCTGGTTCTGGGGGGGGGTCAGTCCAAACCGTGCGGCCACCTGTGGCGCCGATATTCGTATTCCTCAAATATCTCATCTCTATTCAGTCCCAGTCTACGTTAATCTCTCAAATTTTCAAAAGTACGCTTGTCAAATTAATTTTACAGAGATAATGACAATAACTGGATGATGGCCTCTTGATTCTAGCCAGAGAAAACTATGTCTCTTCTTCAAACACTAGTTTTAGAATAATCAATCTTGTAGTACAGATGGAAAACGGTCCATAAATGAGAAAAACGATGGAGTTACAGCAGCCTGCTGAATAAGATATTGAGCTTACGATGCATATTTAAAGCAACACAATTTGCTACCTGTACTACAGAATAGCCACAAGAAATGAATATTAAAAACAGAATTGGAGGACACTGATCCTAATTCCCATCTTTTTATCACTACCAGCATAAAATTGCACCTATCTAATTTTTCCCCCACCAAGTTTTTGCCAGCTTTGAAGATACGTGATGAAGAAAAGTGTGTACCTTTTCATTAGTATAGTCACTGGTATATAGCGTTTGGCCATGTTCATCCATCTCTTCTGACCACCCTTGGGGAGATGAACCATACTGACTATCTGACTGGCTGTTACAAGAACTGTGGGAGTTTTCTTGTGATGAAAGAGTCTACAAATGGTCAAACACAGAGAAGTATGGAGAGATTAGATGAGTTTCGAAGTCTGGAGGAAATCAGAACTTATCTAGAATTTAAAACTTTTAAAGTAGAAAGGATTCATATTTCATAGGAAATAAGTAGAAACAGCAATGCATTTTCAGGAAAAAGATCTGGTTCCTGAACAGAAAGTTTTTGAAGCAGACAGACTAGACTAGATTCCTATGCCTTTTGTATGTGCCAGACATGCAAAAGAGTAATTTTCACTTAGCTTTCATTTAGAGAGCAACATCCAGTCTGCTGATGTCAATGGCAGAACTTAATGTTTGTCACCTGAAGTGCTGTATACATACTTAATTCCAATGACAAATACAGTATGGGTGGAACTGGGCAATTACAAAACAAAATTAATGGATGGGGATATAAGAAACCTACAAATTCATCTCTGCTAAGTCCAGTCCTACTCACCATCCAAAAGTTTAACATTTTTCCCTGGCCATCCTTCTAGAACTTTAGTTTCCATATTTGATTTTTGCCTATCTGCTTATTTTTCTTGGATAAAAACAGCTACTTGTGGCCCTGTCCTTAAACGTTTGATTTATACATTACACCAGCATTACAAAAATTTCAAACTTATAATTCAAAGAAACCCCCAATGATCCTTTGAGATGCTGTTGTGATAGGGAAGGAAACAGAAATCAGCAAGGGTACTATAAATTACCCAAAAGAGGGGGTGCATATCTCAATGCTATAGATTGCTTGTAGTCCCAGGTATGAAGGGAAAACTAAAGCAAATGTGAGACAATGCTATAGATTGCTTGTAGTCCCAGGTCTGAAGGGAAAGTAGAAAACTAAAGCAAATGTGAGTCTTGGAACTAAGGACAAAGTATAGCTCTAATGTATCAGAGAATCTTACAAGGTAGAGGACAAAAAATAATTGAAATATTGATAAAGAAAGTGAAAGAAAAACTATTTTTGAGTGAGGAAATACGAAATAGCTGCCATGAATGTTCAAGGTCTTAAGTCAAAATGTTCTTAACTCAAGCCGTTCTTAAGACCCCACTGTAGCTGGCATGAATGTTCAAGACAGTTCACATGGAATAACAATCTGAAAAACTAAACTCACGATAATATTTGAGTAAGTTAAATCCTACAACTTTGGGAACCATATCCCACGGCTATCACTTAGACTTACTCCTCAGTGGTGGCTCTGAATAGGTACACCTCTCATTTCTTTCCCTCATCCACACACTATTTCTCTCCAGAAATTTAGAGCTGATAATGTAGCAGACAGCATAATGTGACAAACTGGGGTAGTGCTGCACACAAAACCATCAATCCATTGTTCTTTTTCTTCCCTGGAAGGGAAGGAGACTCTTTGCACTGCCCATTCATAGGGATCTTCGGTGTAGGAGGGCAATCCACTACCATAAAGGTTCTCATAGAATTACAGTGGGTTTTTTTCAGTTCTTAACTCAAATCTAAGTACTTAAGTCAAGTCAATATTTTCCTATGAGAGCGGTTCTTAAGTCAAAATGTTCTTAACTCAAGCCGTTCTTAAGACCCCACTGTAGCTGGCATGAATGTTCAAGACAGTTCACATGGAATAACAATCTGAAAAACTAAACTCACGATAATATTTGAGTAAGTTAAATCCTACAACTTTGGGAACCATATCCCACGGTTATCACCACCTCAGTGGTGGCTCTGAATAGGTACACCTCTCATTTCTTTCCCTCATCCACACACTATTTCTCTCCAGAAATTTAGAGCTGATAAGGTAGCAGACAGCATAATGTGACAAACTTGTGGCAGTGCTGCACACAAAACCATCAACCCATTGTTCTTTTTCTTCCCTGGAAGGGAAGGAGACTCTTTGCACTGCCCATTCATAGGGATCTTCGGTGTAGGAGGGCAATCCACCACCACAAACGTTGTCATAGAATTACAGTGAAAACAGCACAGTCCTAGCCCACTAAGAACTCATTACACGGAGCTACAAAGGCCCACCCAATTCCAAGACTACATCAGATATAAAGAAATTAACCACCATGCTATTTTCCCCTTAAGTAAAGAAACAAAAGCACATGAGGATACTTTTCTCATTTGGGGAAACTATGAGCCACTCATAAGGACCAAGGGAAGGAAGATTATCTTTCTTCAAGGCTACGGCAAAGACTGGACCCAATCCAAGAGGCCATTAAACATCTACTATTTTGAGCATCAGGGCACCAATGCAATCCAAAAAACTCCAAGTAACAACCAATGCAAACATGTCACAAATTTTATACAGCCATCTCCTCATAGTTTAATAATCCCGGAATTATCAACAGCATAAAGCTTTCCAATATGCTTATTGTCACTGAATTAGACATTAAAATATAGCCTAAAATCATGCCAGCTACGTTGAGAGACTTCTAGACACACAGCTCAGCGGTTTAGGTCTCTGGCTGTGGAGAGAAAGGTTTGGAGTTTGATCCTGGTTTAGGTCTCTGGCTGTGGAGAGAGAGGTTTGGAGTTCGATCCTCCACTATGCCTCGTTCACAGGGGCTGGACTGGATGATCTCTAGAGTGCCTTCCAACTCTACAGTTCTAAGATTATCATTATAAAAGTAAAACAGGATAACTGTACAGCAAGATGACATTACATGTGATGCTGTAAACCTCTTAAGAGTAATGCTTTGCACTAAGTCAGCAGTATATAACAGTATGAAATAATTAACATATATAACATTAGTCTGCTAGTTTTACCCTATTACTACTATATAGAAGGGACGTGGTGGCTCTGCGGGTTAAACCGCAAAGCCCCTGGGCTGCAAGGTCATAAGATCAGCAGTTTGAATCCACGCGACGGAGTGAGCTCCCGTCGCTTGTCCCACCTCCTGCCAACCTAGCAGTTCGAAAGCATATAAAAATGCGAGTAGATAAACAGGTACCACCTTGGTGATAAGGTAACGGCATTTGTGTCTAGTCATGCTGGCCATGTGACCATGGAAACTGTTTTCAGACAAACGCTGGCTCTATGGCTTGGAAACGGGGATGAGCACCGCCCCCTAGATTCAGACATGACTGGACAATTTGTCAAGGGGAACCTTTACCTTTTACCTTACTATATAGTTAGTACATGCATCACCACTGGGAGTTATGGTGGGAAATATTTTGTCTTACAAAGAGATTAAAGGCCAGTCTCAGAAGACAGTTACACAAGGGGTGATTCATTTTCCTTGGCTCTGGCATTGCTATGGAACCAAAATAAAAAGTTTAATAAAACAGTTCAACAATCAAGGTAAGAAAATTAAAACTATCTGAAACCAAACTTTCATCCTTTGCTTACGCATATGCACAACTCATTCAAATATAACCCATTCCCTATTGGGCATCAGTTAAACTTGCCTCTTGATCTATTTGGTTTGGTGAGTCTCCTTTACTTATGCTCGGATCCCTGGTCCAACGTGGAGGTTTCCAGGTTCTTTCTTGTGTTCCTTTGTTGTAATAGTAACAGCGTCCTGTTGCATCTTTATGCGTCTCCCATTCCCCATTAATCTGGATTGGAGGACTTGTAGGTAAAGGTGGGAGTGCAGACTGAGATATTTTCAGTTCTTGCAAATTAGCATAAACTGGTGAATCTGGTCTTCCTTGGCTTGGTGGTGTTGTTGGCTGTAACAAAAGAAATTGCATTATTACTTAAAACATTTTTTAAAGTACGACATAGATAAATGGGCACTGAATACAGTACTTGGCATGGAGCACACAAACATAATAATTTATAAGCTGGAATATACAGAGGGCTCTATCTTCACAAATATTTCAGCAGTTCTAATATGTTTTGGCATCACAGCCCTTTCCTAATTTTTAAGAAACCCACCTGCCTTCTAATCTCTCCTCTACCCAACCGCCTTTCCTGGTTTAACATTAAAAATAAACACAACTTAATTTAAAAAATTAAACTAAAAATAAGCACATTTTTTGAGAAATCTTAAATTTTCATAAATACATCTATTACAGAAATTTGTTTAAGAGGATAAAACAATTATTTGATAACTCCATACTTTTATGCCCCCTTGCCAATTCTTCATGCTCCCTCCCCCCCACCACAAGATTGTGATCCTATGGATTAATTGTTCAAAATTGTTACAGAATGGAACATATGCTTCCAAACCATTGCCAATCAGATTTTTTAACACTAGCTCTGTTTCTGTGAACCATTATAACTAAATCCATATGGGGTGGTAGACAGGTATGTCATTTCTTGATGTAATGCACTGGAGCTAGGGAGACAACAGAGATGTGCCTATATAGTAAGTTATTTTTGCCCAGACAGCCATAACCCATGTGACATCAAAATTTGTGTTTTAAATGTGCCTTGTAACATCATAGGACATTTTTACTACATTTAAGCAGCAGAATAAATTGAAATCATTTAACTAGGAGAATCAATTGATGCCATTGTAATCAGTGCCTTGAACAGGCTTGATATGAGGCAGATTTCTTCAACTGCACTTGAAGTAACTTTGCTTTGGATTGAACTCTGACACTTGAAAACAGAAAATGAAGGGCCTTTGAATATTAAAGCTAGCATCCATTCCTTACCTGCACAATACGTAAGTGTTTGTTGCCTAATCATTCAATGAATAAATGCATATTTTGCTACAGAATTTATTATAACAGAAAGTGCCCCTGGAAAGATATGAGAACATCACACATTGAATATCCAAAGTTACTACATTAAAGGAATCTTGATCATTCCTTATCTGAAGGTTGCAAATTGATAAGAACCACAAGATCAAGAGTTTCAAAACCAAGGCAGATGAGTATCAGCTGTGAGTATAATTCTTCAAAAGGTCAGAATATAATCATTTTTAAGCTTTTCTCCCCCTCTACAGGATTCAGAACTAGAATCCCCCACACTCTGAATCAGAAGGCACCTATCTTAACCATGTAAACATCCACAAATCAATATCTTGTTTTTTAAGGCTCCAAAACAGCACAACCTCTACAGCAACAGTTGGTATGTAAACTCATTCACACCTCCATGTCACAACAGCAACTCCCAACAGCAAAGCACAAATTGTCTTTTAACTCCACCAAATACACAGAGCAGTCAGGTACTGTAGTTCTTAAATAACTCTCACAAATGACTCAAGTAATATGTGACTCTGCCTCCTTCCATATGAACCTACTCGGCAGTTAAGGTCTAGCCAGGGGGCCGTCCCTCAAGGAGGTAAGAGGCATGGCTTGTAGACAAAGCGCCTTTTCAGCAGCTGCCCCCAGAGTATGGAATGCCCTCCCAACTGAGATTCGCTTACCGATTTTCGCACAGCAATGTTTTTAGAACAGCTATCGGCAGTTCCAAAATGGCCGCCCGCTGTGTTTTCACGCCCATTCCTCGCTTACCAGGCAGCGAAAATGGCGGCCGTATGGGGGATTTTCGCATAACGGTGAGTTTTTAGCCCATAGGAACGCATTAAACATGTTTTAATACATTCCTATGGGCTTTTTTGTTCCATATAGTGACGAATCCACATAGCGACGATTTTTCTGGAACAGATTATCGTCACTATGCGGGGCACCACTGTATTAATTAAAAGCACAGTGTCAATACTGCAATTTTATTACATTCGTTTTCACAACTCTATTCACTAAAAAGCCACACTGTAACATTAATATGCAAAGGCAATGAACTGACAGTTAACAAAAACTAAAAATTATCTCTTTTTAAGCAGAAAATTACTGCCAAAATTAGTTGGGATATAAATCCTGCTTGTCTAGATCTGTATATTTTCACACAGCGGTCACCACTATAGCAGTTTAAGCAATTACTGATTTTCCCAGAATGAACTGCAAAATCTATAATGCAAACTTTATCATATATTTATCATATGTTTTTAAGGCCACCCATGTTTTAAGGGCTTGTTTTGAAAGGTGTGACATAACTCTGTTGTTATTTATCAAAGAAAGTCACTATTAGTATTGTCCTCATCAAAAGGAAGCATTTCAGATCACCAGCACCCCAAAGCTGAGATGACAAGAATTAGTTGTTTAAAGCTGACAAAGCAGCATGCAATAAATGGGTGGCATACCATTCACACGCTCTCACATGGCTCAATTACAAAACCATGCTCAGCATTTAGAGGATCAACTAGAACAGCAACTCTCTGGAGAATGTTCTCATTTAAAATTTGTAATAGGATAATAAAACAACACACATCCCCACTCATTGGAGTGCTTCCAACACACACTCACACACAAGGCCTCTGCGTGTTATCAAATACCTGCTTGCATCCAAAAATCTGTACATCCAAGAATACCTTCACAAAAAAGATTGAAAACTGCTAACCAAATGATAATCAGACAGCTGAAAAAAATGGCCATGAATCAGTTCTCACCCAAAGGAAGAAATAATTCTAGATGGTTTCTCGGCAATTTTACATCAGGAGCCAAATGACTACAGTGGGTAAGGGCCTCTCCCCAAAATAGGAAGGGCTACTCCACTTTTATTGTGTTGCACCCAACGCAACTGCTTAACTCAGAGCTGCTGGAAGTTTGTTCCCCATTCTCTTTCTCCCACCTCAAAACACATGAATCAGGATTCTTAAAAGCCCACATTCATGTCAATAAATTGTCCTCTCTCATTGCAGCAGAAAAACATTGTGAGGTAACAGCCTTGGAGAGGGTCAGCCCACTCTTCCCCATGAAAGACACCACCCTAAAAGTGCTCCCATGGACCAATAAGATTTTTGGAAGCCTGCCTTGAGACTAGCGAGGGCTTTAGGGGGGAAAAAGCCTTACAGCAGTACAGGAGAGAGGATGAGAAATCCTTGTATCCACCTGCTGGTCAAGAAAGAATAGCAGAAAAACAAACCTCTTGCAAGCTCTGTCTGACCACCAGGTGGTAGGATCCACAGCTAAGATCTAAAGTTTATTATGTGATCTACTTATTGTTAAGGGCAGGGAGAGTACTATTCCTTTAATGAAGACAGCACTTAAGAATTAAAAACTCACTAATGTCTTTAAATTCCCCAAATATTTTGGAATTTTCAGCAGAGTACCAATACAAGCAAAATGCTATTGATGGACTGGGATCATGTGACAAAGGGCTGAAGCTATACAAATAGGTAGTTATTCCCGTGGTTTACAGAAAGCTGAAATGTACATTTCCTGACGAGATTTCTGCAAGTGACCACATCCTGTTTTAGGCTGACGGTTGGTCTTTGGCCTTTTTCGGGGAAGGGCGGCATGTTAGTTGCTAAGCGCTGAAACACCTCAGAGAAACTTTATGCTCTTAAAGCAACACTGTCAGTGAGTCCCAACTTTGTTGTATACTTGCATGGGTTGAAGCAGTGGTTCCCAACCTTTTTCAAGTCGAGAGCCCCTTTTTTAATAACCAAGTAACCCATGCCCCCCCCATGTTTTAATTAAAAGGAATTTTTTTAATGGGGTAAAGTCATCCAGTCTCAGAAAGTAGAGGCTTCTTCCTCCCCCAAAGAGCCTGTTTCTCATACATGCACAGACACGATAATTTTAATATCTGGCTCCAAAAGGTCAAGGAAGAAATTATTTAACAAGGGCTGCAACACATAAGGAGACCTGCGACCCCACAGAAAATTCACATAAGGAGAGGAGCACACTCTGGCTGGTGAGTGCGACATTGGCCAGGGAAGCAGGGGAAGGTTTGTGCCCATCTCTATTGATGTCTGCTCACAGTACTAATAAACTACACCGCTTTTTAAAAAAAAAAAAAGAGCTCACAGCCTGTAGATAGTGTAATGTAGTGGTCCCCAACCTTGGGCCTCCAGATGTTCTTGGACTACAACTCCCAGAAGCCTTCACTACACCTCCGCTGGCCAGGATTTCTGGGAATTGAAGTCCAAGAACATCTGGAGGCCCAAGGTTGGAGACCTCTGGTGAAATGGATTTCAGAGCCCCAATTAGAACATCAAACTGTTATAGACTCTACCCTATCCCGCAGCTCCCCAAAAGCTGCCCCTGGACCAGAAGACTTCCATGGGAGCCTCAGGACTTTCGAGAAGGAAATAAAAAAGTGTTTCATTACAGAAAATTCACCATGACTGATGATGACTGTCTTAGCTGTGCAAACAGAATTTCAGGCCCTGTTTGCTAGTGCTTCTGCCAACACTCTGACCATAATTACTGTACTATCAATGCTACACTTCAACAACATCCTATAGCTTAGGGTTTTTTTTATTTGCAAGTTCTTCATAGAGTTTGTAGAAAAATACTTACAGCTATCCAAGGATGTTACACGAATACACTAAAGTCTTTAGAAATTATGTAGAAATATTTAACATATGAGAAATTCATCTAAGTCCTCAAATACATTTATTTTTACACTTTTTTTACAAGGAGATTGATATTTAATATTAACATGACCAGAGATTAATGATGATTTATTAGAGCTCCCTTTTGAAACAAGTAGCATTAGGTTCCCAAAGGATTATAGATTAGTTGCTGTAGCTTCCTTCTTTCCCCTAAAATGACCTTTAGGTTGGCATCTTAATTATACCTGAAATCAATGGCCTTAAGTAAAATGCCCTAGATTCACATTTA